ATGCGAAATAAGTATTTTCCTTTTATGATGGATACAAATTGCTATGAAAACATTTGCTTTATGGAAAGTTTTGGTGTTCTCTTGTGCTATTTTTGCTCTGTTTTGATGTCAGGGAGAAAAAAGAAAGCAGTGGGAGTGCCTATGAACTGGAAGCCCTGTTTCTTTGTGATTCTGTACAGGCTTATTTCCAAATTGAAACAAAATAATGGAAAAAAAGAGTATGAAATAACACACATAGGAATTTCAGGGTAGCAGCATAATTAATTAGCAAGTAGTGAACATGGCTCTATAAAGGTAGACATTCCCAAATGACCTTTTGCTTCAACAATATTGCCAGCTCAGTTGTTAAGTATGATGGTATTTTGTAAACATAACATTTTGCACATACAATAACACATTGTGAACACATGGACTAGGATGGCACGTCCTTTATTCTTCTTCAGTTAACCTGTACATCTCAAAAGAAGGAAACTTCTCACTAAGAATGATGCTTCTAATGGGAGTCAGTGTCTTCAGGGCCGTTTTGGAGATAAATAAAACTTTGTTTGCTAATAACAGTGGCAGATGGCACAGAGATTGTCTATCACCACTGTTTCCTGCTTCACTGAGCATACAACATGATCTGGATTGCTTGATGGATTGGTCTCAAGCAGATATAGTGCAGAATAACACAAAACCATATACGGCCCTACCAGTAAAGCATCGGGGTGCATCCTCAGCCATAACACCTCCTTGGGAAAGGTGTTGGAGTGGACAAGCAATGAAATCTGATTTTCCACTGAGATGTGGTGGAACAAGCAAAAGAATCAGTGGGAAGCGGTGAGTAACTGAGGATCAGAGACTTCACCTGCCTGCACTGCCCAGGCAACAGGAGCAACCTTTGCCACCCATGTTCTGAAAAAGAGGGTGAAAAATTAACAGGAAAAAAAGGAATAAAGCTGAGAAGAAAACAACAACAACAATAAAAAAAACCCCAAACCTCTCATGAGCAAAGGTTTGCTGAAAGATTTGGCAACTGCTTGTAAATATCCTCACAGGGAAAAAAAACAAAACAAAAAACAAAAAACTCTGGCAAATCTCTACTGCATCAGAGAAATGCAAAACAACCACCGTGCCTTGAAGCTAGAGCCAAGCAAAACAAAAACCAAGCAAGATTTTAAGGATGAGGCCAATTATTCACTGGAACAAACTATTGATGGATTTGAAAACTCCTTGATGTTTTCAAATTAATATCAAATGACTTTGTGAAAGTATGCTTTAACAAAATACAAATCACTACATTGATTAAAGGCATAGCAATGTAAAGGTAGTGTCCCCTGTGCTGGCATTACCATGTTTGATCTTGTGAAGAATTAAATAATACTTTTCTACAAACTATTTTTTGTGTCTTGTTAATATCTTTAGAATGGATGGTCCATTTATTATGCCTTCTTAGAGCCATAGCCTCACTCAAGAATGATTTGTAATGCTATGTAACATGATCAGATTTGTAGTGCATCCAAAGCAGGAGAAGAAAATATATACGTTGAGTTTACATGGCATTAGGGTTTGAAGCTTTTTTTTTATATATCTTTTTCTGGCATCTGTTGGCTCCTTTGTGGTCTTGCCGTCATTTGGGAAAATGTCTGCTATAAATACACTCAGATCAGATGCTCCAAGATTGGTATCTGGCGTGATGAATGAGCTCAAAATTGTTATTAGTGTTAGGAATAAAACTTGTTTTAAGTCCTTGCAGGTTAGTGATTCATCCGTATTTCAGATATGTGGAGTGTCTCATTACTGGCATGTGCAGTAGAACTTGCACAGGAGAGACCTCTTGGGTAACAGAGCTTTGCAATCACTAAAGTAAAGATATATTGAAGTTCAGAGGGGGCGCATGAGTTGCCTTAGCACACCTTCCCTTAGCTATGTGTGTTCAGTGCCTTCATGATGACATCAGCCTTCCACATGTTACAAACATCTAGGTAAAGATGAAATACTGCATGAATAGGTCTGCATGTTATGACCTAGTTTCCTGTACTGCGGCAAGTCATAGGTAGGATGAACCAGGTTACATTAATGTGTTCTTCCATTAGGACTTAGTGGAAAATTTCCATATTTAAAATATGGATATTTTTCATAAAGGAGGTATTTTAAATCTACTCATTCCAGGACAAACCTCCTGAGAGAAGTATGTAAGGTGAAGAGGGTAATAATACTGTGTGGAGACTGGTAACCTTGGATACAATTGAATTTTTGTATATAGTTGACATAAATATGTTGAAATGAAAAAATAAAAGTTAACTGGGAACCTCTTTTTGTACCTTTTGCAGCACAAGGCAGCCTAAATATATCTCCAAATACATATGTACCAGAGAAGAGAGCAGTGACTATCGTCCATCTGCATCAGTCAGTCTTAAATGGGATATGAATAGATTTAACTGCTTCTCACAGAGCAGAATTTGAGCCCTTTGCAACGAATCTATTCTGGTCCTAAAGCAGTACCTAGTTCTGATGGAAAACTTGTTTGCTTGGAGATATTTCTAACCAACGTGCTTGAGATGAGAGAGTAATATGACTGAAATTGGCTCTACGATTTAGTATCTGTGTCCCTGCAGAGGCACCTCCTTTAGCACATTAGGCCTTCAGGCTCTGGGAGCTTGGCCGCTGGGAGCAAAGGCCCACAGCAGTGCACATGCAGGAATCTGCCTTCTCCCCATACTCATTATGAGCACAACCAAAGCCCTGTGTCATTCCCGAAGGTCAAAAAAGTGCATTAGCTCTGTTGAACTATAGGAGTAATAATGGCCTTTACTGGTCTGCATTTGTTATTTCTTGAAGAGAGACACCTTGTCCCAACAGATTGGAACTGGCCATTTTGTACATCTATTACCAGCTCCATCTGATGTTACCTTGTCACCTGTGTTTTCAGAGTGTTGTAGTTGACTGTGTGGACAACATGGTCAAATAAGCACAGCAAATAACAAACATGCCAGCAAATAACATACTGGCTCAGGAGGATGTTTGATTGCAAATTAATTATTTGTATTTCTCAGCTTTTGTTTTCAGTTCTACCAGATTAAAGCAACGCATCCAGTTGTATTTGGAAATATTTAACCATTTAATGCTTGTTTGATTACTTCTTATAAAGCATTCTGCAGTTTATCACCTCGCTTTCCAACTATTTCATTCCCCCCTCCTCCTATTTTATCACTCAGAATGACCACTGATGAAGAAACTTGTTTGAGTCATTTTAAGCGTGTCTGCCTGACATAACAGAGAAACCCACACCTGAAGAGGCTTCTAGAATCTGAATTTCTAATTTTTATGATCTGGTAGGTTTTTTTTGTTTATTTTCCTTTATTTTATTTAGATTGACTCAGCTCTGGGTTTTTCAGTTTCTCTATTTTCACAGTCTGATGCAGCAATGCTGTTAGGATTTAGCTCCCAGAGATTTATAACAAGAAAGTCATCAGCTGCTTTTGATTTCTGAAGGAAAGCTATATTGCAGAGGAGGGGCTGCTGAAGGAAGAAGGAAAGTGATGTGTGAATTACAACCGTGCTTCAGCACTATTAAAATGGGCAAGACATGCCCTTTCCTTCCGCACAGCTCCAGCAATGCACTAGGGCATGAAATAAGGATCTGTCCTAGGAAGCACAAGCCCTGTACTCCGAGGGATCCATCCATGTTGCTCAGGCAGGAAAAAATAAGAATTTATAAACTGAGGAGGCAGCAACCAGATTGATTAGAATGGCTAGGGAGAGTTTTTTTTTTTTTTCTCAGGGAAACAAAACAAATTTAGTGTGTTATCCACTATGGCATGTCTGAACGTCAGCTGAAGGTGGGCAGCTAACTCCCAAGAATAGCACATTTACTCAGGGGGAGGAGAAAACCTTTAATACAAAACGCAAGAGGGCAAGTGAACTTTTATTCTGGATGAGCAGTGGGAAACACTGCCAACAGCAAGCTCAAGTGATGAGTGAAATAGCCACCGAGGGAGGCTGGTCAAAGGCTCTTTGGGTTATTTAATGAAGTGCTGTTAACTTAGCACTCTTCAGCGTCAGTACCTGAGGGTTTTTTTATGAGTAATTTAGGCCTTGCTTGTATCCCTAAGCTCATTGGCTACTTGGAGATTTTTTAGATCGTATTTCCCTAGATTCATAGTGTTTTTCTTTATGTGTGAAAAGCCACACAATTAACACAGCAAGTTCATCCTAGGGTAGTTGGTCAAGCCTGGGAGTGCTCTGAAAGTCCTGGAAACACAAAGGTACCATGGTCAGATTGGGCAAATCACCTTCCCAAGTGCTGTTTGGTGAGCAAGACTTCTGGCACCAACATTTACCAGCTTCCAAGACTGCACATGTCACTTATAACAATAGCAGGGTAAAGAACTCATTTTTATTTAGAGAGAAAGGAGTTGTTTCAAAAGTTTTGACCATTTCTTTTAAACCACAGTGGATAAAACTCCGTCCTGCACGGCACCATCCTGCCCTTGCACAGACTCCCACTGAACTCATCAACAAAGTTTCACCATTACAAAATGCAGAGCACGTGCCCGCGGGCCTCACACTGCTGCAGACGTTGCTGCAAGGTGCATGGCTTCTCCCTCCCAGCTCCAGAGCCACTGGTCCTCCCGCACCTGATCCCAGCAACAAGCTGGTGGCAAACACCACGGTAGCTGGTAGAAAGAAATACCAGAGATCCGCGTGTGCTTTCAGCTCCACTTTGCAATTTAAATTAAGGAGAAGGACCCAATGGCGCGCATGGCCCAGGAGCTCCCAGGCACCGCTTGGTTTGTTATTCTGTGTCCTCGGTGCAGTGAGGTGCTCCCTGCTATTGCTGCGGTCCTTCTGGAGGCTTCTGTGGGCCTGAAGATGAGTGACATGACACAGAAAGACACAAGTCAGCCTGTGATACCTGTGATAGCATCAAAACGTCTTGGCGGAGGCGCCAGCGCGTTTCTCTTGCGGGCTTCACTCCCGTAGCGCTTTCCAGGGCGGGCTGCAGCCCACGGGCCTGGCTAGAGGACGTAGAAGTCGTTGTTGTTCGATAAATCACTGTAGTGGCAGAGGGCGAGAGCAGGCACTTGCGCTGGTGGGGGCTCCGGCCGGCTCCTGTCCGGAATGCCCCGCACCTCGGGCCGGCCTGAGCCCGGCTTGCAGAGATGAGTCTCCCACCGGGCCTCGGCCGCAGCCCCGTGTTTGTGCTGCAGTCTGCCCTCGCCGTGGCAATAGTTCACACAGCACCGGCAGGCCAGGAAGCGCTTGGCCCGGTGCTTGGCTCTCGACCCAGGTGTGGAGGGCGCTCCCGCTGCCGCGGCCTTGAGGCTCCGCAGCGGCAGCGCCAGGCGCAGCGCCTTCCAGAACTGCGAGCCGGCGCGCTTGGACTTCTCCCCCTTCCACGTGACGAAGGAGACCGACTCCTTCAGCTGCAGGATGCTGGGGTGGGAGCGCTGCAGTGGCCTGTACTCCACCACGATGAGCTTGGTGGCGATGGCGTTCTGGCACATGATGCCTAGCTTGAACTCCAGCAGGCTGATGCTCTTTTCAGTCAAGTAATCAGGACTGAGGACCACAATCATCCTACGGCTCCTCTGAATGAAGTCAAAAACGGCTTCAGTGGTATCTATGGGTACAAGGGCATAGGGATTGGGGTGCACAGAGGGAAGGAAGAGGAAAAGAAAAGCCAGGAAAAGCTGTTTCATGGCACACCTGCACAGATAGCCCTTCCCACAGAAGAAGGACAGTTGGTGGAAGCCCAGGAGAAATGCAGGAGTTTCCTAAGGAGGGGTTCAAGAACCACCTGCTGCAGCTCTGGCAGCCCTCTGCATCAGGAGAGCAAAGCGAAGCAGTCACATCATTGGGCCTCAGCTCGCACCAGCAAGGCTAAAATCCCCCTCCCTCCTTCTCATGCTGCTAATCCAGAAATGGAAACATCCAAACTTAGAAGTCTGGAAACATCAGTCTTAAACTTCTCCATCAGTTCCCCTAGCTGTGATGTGGGGTGAAAATACTGTCCTTCAAAGCATTTTTTATGGCTAATTACAGTTTGTAAAGCACAGCAAGATGCTCAGCCGGAATGGTGCCAGGCAAGGACAGCATCTCTTTTATTATGAGCACTGAAAAGCAGAAAACCTGAAGGATGTCCTTGGACTTATATATCTATGGTTTGCGATGCAGTAAGCATCTTGAAGGTGTTATGGCTAATGAGTGAACAGTGCTAAGGATGGGAATTAATAGAGCTGTGGCACTTAGCAAATTAAACTGATTCACAGAATGGTTGTGAAAACGTAAAGAAAATGCAGAATCTGCCCACTTGCTGAGTGCTGGTGCCTGGTACAGGGGGACCTGAGGACAAGGTAGCGTTCACCACGATAGGAAATGCTGCAGTGGGAGCTCTTGCAGACTCAGTGAGAAAACCCTCTTGTAGGATATGTCTGGTAGAGAATATTCCTGGGGGAAAAGAGCTAATTGTTGTTTCCGTCTCCTTTTGCATTGTGAAAACCACAGAGAGACTGTGGAATGGGAAGTGGAGGTACTGCAGCAGCTTCCAGCTCTCACGCAATTTCAGCCCCACTTTTATTTATCTTATTTGCTATGAGGGGTTGGGGCCCTTCAGTGCAGTGAGAGCAGTGGGAAGGAAGAGCAGAGCTCTCTCAAACTGCAAGCAGAACGGAGCAGTGATTCAGAGGGCTTCTGCCCTGGCATGTTGTCCTTGTTGGTATCCTGACACCAGCAAGGGCTGATCACCACAAAAAAAATCTGTAAGCCTTATCTGATGCCCCATTTTGGAAACTCTCCTCACCCTCTGCCCGTGGAACAGTGGTGTTTTATGTAATAAAAATACTGTTCCTTCCATGCAGTGCCCTTTATTCTTGCAGCACTTGACTGTTTCTGTTTCCTTTTCTCACAGCGGAAAGTGCACTGTGTTGCACCTGAATGCATCTTATTTTAAAACCACACAAAGAAATATTTTTTTCAAAGACTTATGGCCAGCTGTAAAATTGTCACTAGATTACTTGAGGACCAAGGACCTGTGATAAAAAGTAACTGAACAATAATATCCTAACGGACAGTTAGAAAGTAAGGCACTGTTTGATTGAATAATATAATACTGGAAATTAAACTGTTGTATGCAGCTTTTTAGGGATTTTCCCCACACCCAGAGGAAAACACTGATTAATTGAAATCAAAAGTAAATGATAAAGTCAATTCTATCAAAAACATCACTTAAAGCTCTGAAATGTTCTAACCACCCTGTTTCAAAGGCACAAAGAATTATCAGCAATCACACAATTTACTGAGTCCAGACCTCATACAAACCCTTCTATAACTGATTGACATCTATTCTGAAATCAGTTGGGCTTTAGCAGTTTGTAAAAGGAAAAGTTCCTTTGCTGTTTTGAAAGACTTTTCTTTTTTCATCATCTTCTGTGATGACTGAAATCACAGAATCATAGAAAAACGTAGGCAGGAACAACCCTTGGGAGGTCACCTATTTCACCCTCCTACTCAAAAGAATAGATTAAATTAATGTGAATGATTCCAAAACTGTTGAAATGAAATGTTGTAGACTGAGATGACAATGATGGTTTTCTTCTATCAGATTTTGAGTTTGCTACATTTTTAGAGACTCAAAAGTTTTTTCAGCATGGAAAATATAAGAAGTACATTTCATTTCTAGGAATGGGATATGCTTTAGACTTGTCTAGCCAGGACAACTCAGATTTGCAATCAGATGTCCACATTATCTCGTAATTCCACCTCACAAAAAGACTCAGGCGGCCATTTCACAGTGTGCAGACAGGGTGGTTCCTGCCACTGAGACCAAGAGTAGGATGAATCAGGCAGGATTAATGTTGCTGGGGCCTGGGTACCAACAGAGCTGGAATTTAGATACCCTTGGATATCTGCCCTTCCCTAAAAAAATGGTAGATTTCCAAGCTCTGTCCAAAATTCTGGCTCGTTGCTTGGTCTCTCAAGCAAAGGAATTGTGTTTCCTTCCCATTTTCCTGTCCTGTGATTGCAGAGTGAGTGCTCCCTGGGTCAGACTTTCTGTGTGTGCACACACAACTGCAGGTGACATGTGGCTGCTGAATGTCTCTGCATTTCTGCCTTTGTGGCCCAGGCAGCAGGGACAGTGTCTAAGGCTTGGGCTGGGGTCTATGCAGCCAGGAAAATCCCACCTTTAAGGAGGTGCCCCCAAATGATCTTGATGCATGGCCTACACAGTCATCTTTCTGTAACACCCTTTCACAGATGTAATGCGGAGGAAAATGATACTCATGAGAAATGCCCAGGGACTGAAATGCAAAAGTGAAAATGTTTTATTGAAAAGCAAAATAAAACAACACTGATGCTTCACAGACCATATAACACAAAGGCAAAAACACACAGGAAAAAAAAAAAAAAAGGAAGGGAAAACTCTGGAACAGCTGTAAAACATCCAACAGCACAGGGGGAAAATATCCATTCCAATTTGTGCAAAGCTGTTTCCCCATGAAATAACAATGAAGAACTTTGTATGAGCTGCATATTGATAAATGTTAGGTTACAGCACAGAGACTCAACGGAATCAACTGAATTGGACAGACACTGTGGTGGGATCCTCCACTGGAAACCACCTGTGGCAGAGGAGGCGATGGAAGGTTTGGTCAAGGAGCTCTGCAGAGCTGCACTGCAGCTGATACTGGGATGTGCCCCTGCTCTGGCAGCTTCCACCCAAACAAGTGGTCGAGCTCCAGTCCAGTCCTTCCACACTGCTCCCTTTGGACCTCATGCCCATTTTGGACCATCTCACCTTTTGCCTTATGGGTGCTCTGCTCAGCTTTTGCTTTGCATCTCTCAGTAACCCTCTTCTGGGGTTGCAATGGCACCAAAGGCCACTGCACTTTATGCTACAAAAAGACTAGACCCATTATTTATTTGGTAAACTTTTAGAATAAGAACAGCAAAGTAAATGAGGAAGCTTTAATTTCTTAAATAATAGGATCTAGCAAAATATTAGCAGAAACTTTCTTAGTGCCTCAGCCAAAAGTGAGATGTGGTAAGGTCTGCGATGTTAATTGAATTTATGCATATTTCTGAAACAATTTTTTAAAAATCAAATCGGAATCTAACACAGTTCTGCTCTGGCCTCAGGGCCTTCCTTCTGCCTGCAGATCTGGCAGCTGCTTACAGAGATGCTGAAAACATGAACAAAAAGATGAAGCTGGGCAAAATGATGCAGTCCCAATGGCTTGACAAAGCTTAGCATATTTTTGTGTGCTGTCTCATACAAATGAAGCTTCATGGAGTACAGGAATCTGATCTGTTTTTCT